GACATCTGTTGCATTGGGACTGAAAAAAAAAGATATAAAAATATTTTGTTTTTCATTATCTCCTATTTCCATACTGCTTCACTTCTTCTTTCTCCCTCTTTTCAAATTATATTTGCCTGCTTCTACTATGCACTTATTTAGAAACTCTATTTTTAGGAAGAGTTTTCTTTGTTATATTTTCATAGCTCTATGTGTTTTTGGGAGGAGATTTCCACTGCTCTACTCACGCTGCCATCCTGGCTCCACACCCCCTCTCTCCTTACTTTTTTAAGACATCTGTTGCATTGGGACTGAAAAAAAAAGATATAAAAATATTTTGTTTTTCATTATCTCCTATTTCCATACTGCTTCACTTCTTCTTTCTCCCTCTTTTCAAATTATATTTGCCTGCTTCTACTATGCACTTATTTAGAAACTCTATGGAGCATATTTCTGTATGGGTATTCAGAGCAGAGTTGAATCTGACCCCAGAGTGTTGAATTGTGCCAGTGAATGACACAGGGTAGATCATTACCTTTGTAAATAATGATTCCCTCTCAGTTTGCTGTGTGTTGTAAAAGTATGCTATTGTCTCTATCCACAGTAATCTTTGGTCAATATATATTAGACTTATATATGATTCAATTAGATCTTTGATCTAGGGTTGAAAAGTACAAATTGGCCACCAAAGACATGAGGTCCTTAAAGAAACTAGTGACAAAGATGGGTAGTCTACAAATAATTAAATTGACAGCTGATTTTAAGCAGCATCAATGATAAAGGAATAGTATATTCTAAGTACTGAGAGAAAACACCTGTCAATCTAGAATTGTATACCCAACTCAATTACCTTTTAAGATTGATCATAAGACAGAGATATTTTTATACAAAACAAAAACAAAGCATTTACCACCAGTACTAAGGACATTCTAAAAGACTGTGTTCAAAGAGCAAGAAAGTCATCCCAGAAGGAAGGAAGGAGATGCGGAAGGAACGAAAAGGAAAAAATTGGTAAACATTTGGGTGAATCTAAATAAGCACTAGCTAATAATAATAATAATAATAATAATGTCCAATTTGCATAAACAGAACAAGATAGAACTAGAAAAGAAGTAACATATATACCAGGGAAGTTAAGGTATTCCAAGGTCCTTATCTTATTTGGAAGGAGGCTAAAGATGTTAAATTTAGATTTTATTGTGTGGACATACAATTTCTAGTTTAATTACTAAAAAAAAAAGGAAAATGTAATATAGTAGTGGGGAGAATCAATGAAATGAGAAAATAAAATCAATAGCAACTGGCTCAGTAAAGAAAGAAAGTAAAAAATTTTAAATAGATTTTAATAATTGTTCCTGAGACCCTTACCTTAACAATTACAAATATTAAGTAACTATGTTGTGAAGTTCATGTACATATATATATATATATATACCTAGAGGACAAATGAGAGAAAAAGAACAAGTCTTAATGATTTGTGAACAGGTGCTTCTGGCTTAGGACAAAATGTTCAGTAACAGCATCATTCAGAGATTACACAAGACATGTGTTGCAGGAGAGGAACCTCAGATGTAGGGAACCCAATTCTTTTTTTTTTAACTGAATGTGTCTTCTCTTTCTATTGATAATATTTAAACTATGACGTTCATTATCATTTCTAAAATGAAATTTTTTAAAACAATATTTTTATTAAGGTATTATTGATATATACACTCTTATGAAGGTTTCACATGAAAAACAATGTGGTTACTACATTCGCCATTTTATCGAAAACCCCCACACCCCATTGCAGTCACTGTCCATCAGTGTAGTAAGATGCTACAGAGTCACTACCTGTCTTCTCTGTGCTACACTGTCTTCCCCATGATCACCCCCACACCATGTGCCATGTGCATTAATCATAATACCACTCAATCCCCTTCTCCCTCCCTCCCAACCCACCCTCCCCCACCCCTCCCCTTTGGTAACCACTAGTCCCTTCTTGGAGTTTGTGAGTCTCCTGCTGTTTCGGGGAACCTAATTCTTTTAAAATGGATTGTAAGCCTGCCTGACCTCTGCCTCAGAGGGAGTATTATTTATATCTATATATAGTCTTAATTATAATGCATAGTTAATTTTGGTCTTTGCTCTGGAAGGAGACACTATTAGTTTTCCAAGGCTGTTCACTATACAAGCAGCCTTGAAAGATAGATCCAGAGCCATTGTTTGTAGGATGTATAGAAATATCAGGGACGCCTAGAGAATTCTCTCCCAATTACCTTGGATGAGTTTGTAAACCTACAGTTTTCCATCTGAAAAATTGAATGAATGGTTTATCCTATGTAGTTGTGAGGATCACACAATATAGTACATATAAAAGGTTTAACATCCTACCTAAAAACTTTGTCAATATCAATTACTATTATAAATGATTATTTCTAAAATAAGATGTTTATTGAAATCTTTATTTTCTCTAGCAAAAAACTTTGCAGCTCACTGATGTGTCCAATTATTAGAATTACCAAATATTTAGAACTAAAAATATTCAGAACAGAAAGATTACTCAGTAAAATCAGACATTTTAAAGATAAGGAAATAGGTTCAGAGAGATTAAGTGACTTGTTGACTTTCAAGCATAACAGCCATATAAAGGACAATGGTCACCTGATTTAAAATTCAGGTCCTTTAAAATTATACAAAATGCTTGGAGCTCAGTAAATACTGCTATTACAAATGGATTGAAGCACACATATGATTAGAAAGTGCTTTACATGTTCATTTGGTCATTCTCTTCTTCCTACTTGCTTGACCTGTAAACTACCTGAAACTTGGCCCCTGAAGGCTAATAAATACAGAAAGGAAGGAAGGAAGGAAGAGAGGGCGGGAGGGAGGAGGAAGAGGTGCGTAGCTAAATTAAATAAACCATATCTCCTCCTCCCCTCCATTTCCATTATAGTCACTGTCTCCACATTAGAGAAAATAAAAGAAAGTGCTTTCTGTGTGTGTAGATGATTTTGAAAGTGTTCCCATTCTGGCTAAAGGCAGGAAAATTATGGCAATATATCTGGCAGCTTTATGTCAATAGCTTTATGCTGGCTTATCGACCAACTTCCTAAGGCATGAGGGGGAGTAATAAGGACGGGAAAGGAGTGGGTGATGGAAATAACATCTCATTCTGGAAGGAAAAATGTTGTAAGGAATGATCATCAGTTGTAGAATTAGATGACCTGAGTTCCTGTATGAGTTTGAGAAGTTACTGAGTTTCCTAATCTCTGAAAGGTTCATAACATTCCTCCATGAGAAGTGATGTGTGATTCAAGTGAAGATGATATGGGAGTGTCTGACACATAGCAAGTCCTCATTAAATATTAGTTTACCTTGAATCAAATCTAGTAAAGGAATTTATCCTAGAAAGGTCTATAAAAACTAATTCATTTATTTTGTAACCCTATTTAATACCAATCCCACTGTTTTTCTTCTTTAAGAATGGGATAAACAGCATTAGGTACTACAGCATTCTGAAATCCTTTCAGGGATCCGAGGCCACAGTTGAGTATGCCCAGGTAGCCAAAGCAAGATGTTAATAGGAAAGAAATGATAGAGAATGTGAAGTGCCCTTCATCTTTTGTCCACCTCAAGCCTTCTGCAAAATTACCTCTGACTCCAGGTAATTCTGGGTGTTCTGGGTATCCCAGGGGTGTCGCACACCAGGTCCTGAGCAGATCTGCTCCTACTGGTCTCATCAGTCACCTCTTCACAGGGCATCATGATGTGTGTGGTGTGTGCTGGGGAGGTTAGATAGAGACTGTGTTATAAAACATGCCCTTTCCCTTTGCTTTAGAGAAGTCCTGCCACAATGTCTTAGGTCATGAAGAGTTCAGGGAAATAATTCTTAGTTTTTATTTGGGGGCATTGTCTCTCTCACAGGAGTCAGATTCTGGAGATGAATTTGAGTGAGAGTGTTGAGACCATACTGAACATCCCTAGACCTTAACCCCTTGTGATGAGAAAGGCTTTGTTAGGATCAGGCCCTTCGCACTTAGCTGTTTCTTTCCATCAGAGTGCTGTTTTCTTGAAGGTTCCCCAGTCTTTCCTCAAATAGGCTTCTGTAGGACCATCCTACCAATTTACATTCATGTTCAGTTGTGTCAGTACAGCAGTGGGCACATTTTGAGTTTGTTTGCCTGAGGCTACCAGGCCTTCTAGCCTCTACTTTCCTATGGGGCTTATCTCAACAGGCATACTTAAATCTGCAGCTGACAGAGTTCTGGGGTCAGCTGAGATCCCTGCTACAGATACTCATGTACAAAGAAATTGGCTCATATCCTGCCTGTCTTCAAATGTGAGTGTGGGCACTTGTCTTTAATTCTTGATATATCAGAGTGTGGGTAAAATTGCAATATTTCCAGAGTATCTCGCCTGGCTTTAATACATCTGCATATCAATAGGGGTTCAGAGGTGTAAACAAGTAGACTTTAGTGCATTTGCATCATTCCTCAGGGGTGGAGAGAAGTTCATCTCCGTATCAATGGGTAATTACCTGGGCAAGGAGGGCTTATCTGTACCTGAGAGGTGAGAGTGAGGGCCAGTTTTGCTTCTGTTAGAGCAGGAAAGAGAGAAGTGCCCGGACTGCAGTTTGTGAGTGATAAACGGATTTTAAACTTTATTTCTCCCTTTGACTGATTTTGGTTTTTAGAGGTATTTTGCCCCAGGATTTCCTCTCCCCAGACTAACATGGATCCATTCATTTATTCATTTTTCATTGATCAAAGAAGGAACACAAAGATGATTTTGACACAGTTCCTGTATCACTGCTGTTACAATTTGTTGCTTATGTTTTTGTTTTCTCATAGATGTGGTTGTCCCTAAAGTTTGATTTAGATCATCTTACAGATATCTGAAAAAATATCTTCTGTAAGATGCTAGTATCAACAACTCCATACTTAATCACTGTTAATAATGTACTATATCAGGCATATGCAGGAAATGTGGAATTTGATTCGGTGATGTTTTAATGTTCTTAACATTCTCTTTGCCCCCAGGTTATGCAGATGTATCTTCCCTTTTGTGGTATTGCCATATCTAACGCTCAGCTATTTGCTGCCTCAAGGAAAGAGTATGAAAGAAGCAGGGTGAGTAGAAAGAAAAACATTGCTGACAGTTCTCAAAGTGCTCTGTCTTTCAAATGTCTGTAAGACAGTATGTCTTTTAGAAACACCATACTATCTTTGAATAGTTCAAGAATCTTTTTTATTTTTGTAATCATTCTAGTCTATGGTTGAAGATCCCCTTCAAGCAATAAGCCCAAATGGAAGTGGATACAAATTCATGTTGTTGTTTGAGGTAAATAGTACCAGCTTCTTTTAAAAAGGAAATTAATTTCACATCTACACCATAAGGCAGCATATATATTCTTGCTTACTTGTGTCTTTGAAACAATAACACAATTTAGTGATGTTTTTATAACTTAATTCCTTTAAGAAGCAAGGTATGTTACAAATGATTTCACCCTACCTCAGAAATTTTGTTTTTGAATTGAAGGATTTTCTGGAAGAGTGTTACAGGATAACTGGACAATAATGTGAACACTAATTTGTAGAATTATAATGAAACATACATAAAAGGATTGATCTCATATACCACCACCAGTTACATAGTTAAATTGTAAAACAAAGGCAAAAGCAAAAACTGATGCTCAAAAAAATGCTGAACTGTATCAGAGATTAAATTATATTAGGCTCAATATACTTTTAAATATAGGGACATTACTGTCACAACATAGAGACATATTTATTAAGAAGATGTTTTAAAAAGTTTAAAACCTTCAGTTAAATGGTAATTAAACTGATTAAAAATTTCATTTGCTAAGCATTATGACTTACGAATATTTCACAATAAACAGATGAACACAGTTAACTTAAACACAATACAGGCATCTTCTTTAGCATGGTGTACTATGCCTTTTCTCTGTCTTGGATGCTGTTGTGATATTTCCCCCCATGTCTTACCATTCTCCTCCTTCCATTCAGCACTCCAGCAGTATAATCCCCGATTTGCAGAAAACAATCTTTTTCACTTTCTCATACCTTTAGCCAAATTTTGCCCTCTGCTTTCAGTGTCTCATGTCCACCTTTTTCTTCCCACTGCCATTTGCCTTGCAAATCCTTCAGGACCCAGCTCAGTCTTTCCTTCTTTACCTATTGTTTTTATTTGTATATACTGCCATTGTTCTATTGTAGATACATGTCACACTGCATATTTATTGATGACCCTCCTCTCTATATTTTGAACTCCTTTTGGGATACTTCATGTATTATTAATCTTTGCATCCTCAGGTATGGCACAATTTACTTATTTATAAAACAAATACTTATTTTGCAATATTGTTCAGACACTGTCCATCTAAAGTCCCTGCCATCATTAAACTTGCTATTCTAGTGGGAACAACAGATAATAGACAAGCAAACAAGTAAAAAATATATAGTATCTGGTAGTATAAATGCTCTAAAGAAAAATGAAGTGAGATAAATAGATTGAGACTGGTCACTGAAGAATGGTTTAAGATGGTAATGAAGAAGGTCTCTGTAAGGAGATATTTGAGCAGAGACCTGAATGAAACAAGGAGCAAAGCCATAGAAAGATCTGGTAAAAGCATTCCAGATATTGGAAATATCAAGTGCAAAAGTCCTGGGGCAGGAGAAAGCTTAGTCAATGTGTCTAGAGAACAGAGAAGGAAGACCTTGAATATCCAAAGCATCTGAGAAGGAAAAAAGCTTGTAAGCATCATACTTCCTGATTTCAAGCTATACTACAAAGCTATTATAATCAAAACAGTATGATACTGGCATTAAAAACAGACACATAACCAATGGAATAGAATTGAGAGCTTAGAAATAAACCCATGCACATACAGTCAACATGCATTTGACAAGGAATATTCAATGGGGAGAAGATAGTATTTTCAATAAATGGTGTTGCAAAACTGGATATTCACATGCAAAAGAATGAAATTGGATCTGTCTTATACCACTCAGAGGAATTAACTTCAAATGGATTAAAGGCATAAAATATCAGACCTAAAACTATAAAACTTCTAGAAGAAAACATAGGGGAAAAGCCCCAGTGATGTTTTGGGTTGGACACAAAAGCACAAGCAACAAAAGCAAAAGCAAACAAGTGGGACTACATTATATTTTTAAAAACCCTGCATAGCAAAGGAAACAATCAACAAAATGAAGAGACAACCTAAAGAATGGGAGAAAACATTTACAAGTCATATATATTAGATAAGGGGCTAATATCCAAAATACATAAAGAACTCATACAAGTCAATAGCAGAAAACACCAAATAATCCAATTAAAACTGGGTAGAGGATCTAATAGAAATTTTTCCAAAAGAAGACATACAAATGACTAACAGGTACATGAAAAGATTCTCAGCATCACTAATCATCTAATGCAAATCAAAACCATAATGGTATATCAACTCATGCCTGTTAGAATGGCTATTATGAAAAAGACAGGAGATAACAAGTGCTGCTGAGGATGAGGAGAAATGGGAACGCTTGTGCTCTCTGGGTGGGAATATGCATTAGTACAGCCATAATGAAAGCAGATGAAATACAGATGTTCCTCAAAAAACTAAAAATAGAACTTCTGTATCATTCAGCCATCCCACCTCTGGGTACATATCTGAAGGAAATGAAGTCACTCTCAAGAGATCTGCACCACCATGTTCATCACAGCATTATTGACAATAGCCAAGACCTGGAAACAACCCAAGTGTCCATTGGTGAATAACTAGATATAGAAACTGTGGTATATATGTACAGAATATTATTCAGCCAATGGAAGGAAATCCTGCCATTTATGACAATATGGATTAAACATGATGGCACTGTAGTAAGTGAAATAAGTCAGAACTATAAAAAGCAGAATTCATAGGAAACCCAAGGTAGAATGGTGATTTCCAGAGGATGGGGTATGGGGAACGTGGAGAGATCCTAGTCAAAGTACATAAAATTTCTATTATAAGATGATTAAGTTCTGGGGATCTAATATTCAGCATGGTGACTATACTTAACAATACTGTATTACATATGTGAAAGTTGCTGAAAGTTGCTGTGAAAGTTGCTGTAAGAGTACATCTTAATGTTCTTACCACACACAAAAATTATAATTCTGTGAAATGATAGATGTGTTAACCTTATTGTAGGAATCACTTCACAATATATATGTGTATCAAATCATCATGTTAAACTTACACATGTCATATGTCAATTATAGCCCAATAAAACTGGGGGAAAAAGGAATTTCCCCCCAAACTGGTGGTAAAATAAATATAAGGTTTATGTAGGAAATGAGTGAAAACTACTTTGGGCTTGCTTGTACAGCTGGCAAGTTAACAGTTGGATACTAGTCTAAAGTTTTGGAGAGACTTCAAGACTCAAGATTAATATTTGGGAACCATGAGCATATAGATGGTATTTAAATTCAGGTACCATGTAGGTTAATCTGGGGGGAGAAGGGGTGGATAAGAGAAGGGAAGAGGTCCAAGGGTGAGCCCAGGAACAAAAGGTCACTAGAAGGAGGGGCAGAAATGCAAGTGAAGTCACGTAGCAGGGAGTGTTCAACTATGTGAAAGGTTTCCAGTGTCTGTTGAATTCATATCATCCTAGATTTTCTTCTCTTTGTCTCCTATTCTGGAGCTAGTTGGCATTGTTATTTGTGAAACTTTTATCATTTGTTAGTAAAGAAGCAATTTTTAATTAGAAACAATAAAATTACTATAATGTGATTTGTCAGTGCAAGACTCAAGGCACAATTAGTTTTTCCTCTGAGATAAATGTTCTTGCATATGAGTCCCAGAGGCCCTATCCACATAGTCACAACAAATTGAAAAGTTAAATAATTGTTCAGTTAATATGATACATCTGAAGAAATTGTCTGGATGATTAAGGAAATAATGTTTTCCCCCTTAATAACAGGGGATTTTGTTGGTAATTATTCAGACAGCAGTTGCCTCAATTTTAATGTTATGTTTGAATATGACATTATTGCACATCGACCTCTTAACAGCAATTTGCTGTCCAAATGCCAGTCAGGATACACTTAAAAAATTTTTCACCGCCTGGTGTTTTTCTTTGTTTGGGGATCAGAGAGCAGTCTAGGTCCCTTATCCATATATACAAACTCTCTGTAGGGAGAATGCTGCAGAGGATTCTTGAACCTCTTTTAGATGCTCAGTGAACTAGACTCATTTCACGGATCCCTTAGCTCATTCAAACGCTTTTCTACCTGAACAGACTCAGAAGAAATTTTCACATGTTTCAAATGGTTTCGAGATAAATTAAATTCATTACCAATGCTGAAAATTAGTCATGTCCCTGGGATGATGATCAACTCAACTCCATCTACCTGAATAGATGTGAATACGAAAACCCAAGAAATCTTTTGTGAGAGGTCTGGCTTGAGAGTGCACGTCTTATTACATTCTACTGAATAAAGCACCCTCTGGCCAGTTCACTGGCTGTGTAATTTTCTGGTTGCTCTCTGAGAGAAACACAATACCTACCACCCGTACATAGCCCTCTATTCTTAAATCTCTGGAAGTATCCATGTAATTAAAAATTCCAAATATATATTCTTTCAATGTCTAATTGCAAGTAAACCTAGCTGGATGAAATGGCAAGTTATTACTGTTTGATTTTTAAATGAGTACAGAGTTTTCAAGTTAGAATTTGTTTTTTCTTCAGTCTGTGTGCTTTTCATTCTGTTGTTTTAATGGAAATTTTGATGATGTTTTCTTTCCTGAGGTATATAATAGTATTTAAATGTTCTTCTGGACAGAGTGGGATGAAGCAATATTTCTTGTATAGAGAGATTAAAGAGGATTATATATATAATATATATATATATATATATTTTGAAAGCTCTGAAACTTACTTAGCATTCACCACTATAATTCTTTTAGAGTTCTGTGAGAGATGGGTATTAGTGAACATAAGTCTCAAGTTTGTGTGTGAAGCTATTTCTTCCTGAGGGTAAGGAAGAGCTGCTTTGTAATTTTATGAAATAAATGTGCTTTGGAAAGAATTGGGTATCTGTTATTTATAAAATACTGGGTTTACACCTCATCACATTGCAGAATAACTTTAATAGGGAACAAAAGCCTATAGCTAATGACTATTTGGGATTCTGTAGTCATTAGCTATGGGGGATACATATAACTAGATGTGGGATTTACATGGGGTTATATGACACTATTTGCAACTTGTATTTTGCAGTTCAAGACTGTATTATAAAATAAAATTATGGAACTATGTCAGAACAATTAATACATGCTTTCAAATTAGCCACACAAAAATATTTATATTTTTTTATAGCAAAGACTAAATGGAATTTTGAGAGAAAAAAAGCCATCATTTTTATTCAGTCCTATATTCACCTAATTACATCTTTTTCACCTTTCCTAGGCTTTGCTAGAAGTGGTTAATGACCTTTTTGAAGAACAGACCGACCTTGAGAAAATAGTCAAGAAAATAATGCATCGGGCCCAAACTCTGCTGAAATGTGAACGTTGTTCTGTTTTACTCCTAGAGGACATTGAATCACCAGTAAGTCACCATTTATCTGTCACATACAGTTGAAGACTGTGTTCATGGAATGAAGTTTAATTTACTTGTAATTAAGTTTGTGAAATGGTGACTTGAACCTCTCTCTTAATGACTCTTCTAACCAAGACGTGACTTTTATAAAATCTAAGATTTTTATTTCCTTTACATGTATATTCAATCTTGTTTTGCGGACACCTTAGAAACAGAGTCTTTCACTGGTGGGGACCTTATAAATCGACTCCAGCCCTGTGCATTTACAGATGAGGGAACTAAGGGGTAAAGTGGGCCGCCTAGTCTCACACAGCTGAATGTAAGATGAGCTCAGGTGCCAGTTTCCTGTCATATTCACCCAACAGAGGCAAAGACCCTTAGCATCTGGGGGTGTGGACTGCAGTCCACACAGTGCTCCTCAGCCCCCTATGGGAGGAGGAAGTCTGCAGACACTGGAGTAGCAGTGCCCTTTGCTTCTGGAGCCCAGAAGCAGCTTCCTCTGGGCTGTGTCTGCAGCAGAGGCTTGTCTTGCTGCTTCTGAATGGCAGTGTCCAGGTTCTTTCACTGCTGCTTTGGACCTGTGGACACTTTTCAGAGCATTCTGATCACGTGGAGAAGCTCCTTTCCCCTTCACGTGTGGGTTCCCATTACTGCAAAGGCGAGAGGCAGGCAGGTTCGAGGCCTCAGGCCTACCACACCTGGGCTTTCAGGTTCTGCTAAGCCTGTGGCTCTTTGGGGAAATGTGCTGGGTAAATACACACCAATATTAAAAATAATGGTCATCATCAATCTAGCTTCTTGAAAGTTAAATGTCTAAACCCTGAGCAGCAATTTAATATCTTTTCTGTGAGCTCTCTTCAAAGAACATGAATTATCTAGCAATTAAGTGCTGTTTTAATACCTCAGAGAATGATATTTTACTGTACTTAGAAAAGATTATTATACTTGCCTTTAGGTTTGTTTTTCTCAAAGAATAAGAACCTGAGGGCTAATTTTGGAAATTTAATAATAAGTATTATAAAGCTTATAACATTACATTTAAAATAAATCTATGTATGTTTAAAATGCTTAGGAGCATTTCCCCATATTTTAGCAGAGCTTGGGGTTATTTCTATGTCAGCAGGTGTATTTTAATTAAACAATAGCCTTGCAATTATCCTGTGATGTGTAACACTGCAGAACCTGGGAGAACACACATGCAAACACCAATAGCCCATACTTATGGAGTGCTTCCGGACAATGTGAAGCACTTGAGTTCATTTAATGCTCACTGCATCCTTATGAAATTGGTATTATTATCATCCTCATTCTACAGAAGAGGAAATAAGGCTCAGAGAGTTGCATGACTTGCTGGAGTCTCCCGTGCTGCCCCTGAAAGGAATGGGAAGGGGCGGTGGTTGCTCATTGGCACCTGTCAGGCTGTGGGTTCTCACTAAACAGAGACAGGAAGGGGCAGCTGCTGGGGTTTCAGCCACCAGGCTTTCCTGAGACACTCCAAGGGTCCTGTGAGGACAAGTGGCTGCGGGGCCGGTTAGAATCTGCGTAAGGACAAGCTCATTGCTGCTAGTTTAGTTGTAAATGGACACGAAAGTACTTTAAGCTAGTTTAGGGTGGTTTTTCCTGCTAATCTTCTAACATGGACTAGTTTTCATACTGCGGCCTTGATTTTTGGCAAATCAGATGAAAAAGTGCATATGATAGAAGTGCATACGGAAGGTGGGGGCAGAGCTGGAGAGAATAGCAGGGACAGTATAGTTTCACGGTGGAAGTCAGCGGGAAGGTGTCAAAAACCATTATCTAGAGTAGATGGTACAAGCAATAAAGGTGTTGGTATATTACTGAAAGTTAAAAAGACTTTTCTGCTATCATAGCTGCTCATTCTATGACCATCATGGTGGGATTAGAGTAGAAATTTCTGGGCCCCTCATCATCATTTCTTCTCTTTGCCTATCCCCTGCCTCTCAAAGTGAAGATGAACTCTCTTCCAGAGGGGCAGGCTCTAAAGGTAATAGTGAGCATGTGCAGACTGGGGAGATTTGTCAGGTAAAACAAGAGAAGAGAACAGACACAGTCACATAATGTGCAGGAGGAGAGGCCAGACCAAACAGGCCGCCAGACACCAATATTGGTGCTGGCACAGTGGTCTCAACAAACAGAAAACCAGGCAGAAGCCAAGCTCTTGGGCTGGGGCTGCCCTCCCCATGTCAGAGTACTGGATGGATGGACTGGTATTTAAAACCTTTGTCATCTCGATTTAATGAAGAGTTTGAATGATTACCAGAGAGGGGACCCAAGCAATACCTACAAATATTATTTGATTTCATTTGCTTGACAGAAAGCCGACCTACATAGATTCCTAACCAAAGATGAGAAAACAAAGGTGGAACTTGACAACATGATTTTTAATTCTAAAAGTTCCTATGGAAGAAGAAATACATATGAGTAGCCAGAAAATTTGCTTATAATGCAGCAAAGATGAAGAATGGGTAAGATTTTGCCTGTGAAGCTGTTGAAATGTATTATAAAATTAGAAATTAATTCCTCATAAAGAAACAGCTAAACAGAATAGAGTCCAGAGACCCCAATACATACAAAAATCTAGTGAAGACTGTTCTCTGAATTGTAGAGTATAGAAAATTATTTCTAACCAAGAGTATATTGAAGGACTAGAGGGTTTCAGACTTGAAATGAAGTTTTTTTTTTACATCAAGTATTTCAGCAATAAAGATGTTTTTATAATTAAAAAGGAATATATATGTAAGGTTTCAACCTCACAGGGAAAATTTAGAATTCAATTATACCTCTCCCTTATCTCTTCTGACCTTTCTTCCCCTATTATTGTCAGCAGGCCTATCACTAGCAGGATGCTTTTTTGGCATTTCTTACCACCTTTGATACCCCTGGCATTTATGATAAACAGTAAAGAGCTTTCTCCTATGCACAGTGCCAGTTCCAGTTTTAGATGTGTTTTAACCAATAGTTATCTTCATAACATAAAGCAAAAGTTGCAGGGATAAAAGATTGATATCAAGGTATTCAGGGAAATCCACCTCCTCACCCTTCTCCCCAGCCCTCTAGACAGCTTGCCATGTTGCTTCAGGGGAGAAAGTACACAGAATACTGAAACAAATATGAGTTCCAAAATAGGCTTTAAAATTTATAGCAGAGTTATTATTCTCAAAAACCAAGACTTTTTCATTTGCCAGAGCCAGACTTTCCTAAGGACTTAAAAGAATGAGGGTCTAAAGTTGTGCCCAAAGCAATAGATTGGAAAGAAAATAATGAAGCCCTAGACTCTCCCAATCATGGATTGCCCAAACTAAGGTTGGGGAGAGAGGAGAACAGTATATGTGATCTACTCAGCTTTCCTAACCCTAAGGGGACTCAAGGCCCCACACACTGGTGGTTGTGATAATGAAGGAGTTAAAAGTTCTCCCAGACACGACCACAGGGAAGGAGACTAGAGGTGGCAATATGACAGCGGGTGGTATGGGACAGTGAGGGCCAGACAGGGGCATGAAAAGCAAATGCACTTTTCCTGTTTCCTGACAGAAGTCAAGGACCTAAAGAAATCTAACTGTCAGGATAAGGGAGGCACAGAGGATGTGACCCTGGCCTGGAGACCTATAGCAGGTGGATATATGAGCATATCCACTGTTGAGGACGACAATGCTGAGGACTTGTTAGGCCTTCTGATCTCTTAGAGGCCAGCTTGGCTTATAGGATGACTATACATCAGGTGCTTTGCTCCAAAGAACCCAGAAAATTGCATGTCATCCTGGTGAAAATTTCAGTATTAAATAAGTTTTAATCTGAAATAATTGAAAAAATCTGACATGGATGAGTTTAACTAAAATCGTAACTTTTGTCTTCTTTCAACAAACTAAACTGGAATTCAAGAAGAGATTTAGTTGAGTTATAGAAAATAATATAAGTGACTTTTTGTATAGCTATGTCTAATGACATTAGAAGTTTATAATCAATATACAAATTATATTCTCTAGTCAATAACCTTATATTCAGTATACATATATGACAAAGGAAGCATTTGAAATTAGAGGGGTGAGGAGTTTGACAGATTGTTCTATAGATGTTTGGGAAATAAACAGCTGGCAATTGAGGATAAAAAAAAAAAACCCAAAGCTGGATTCCTACCTCACACTTGTTAAAATATAATTTTCTAAAAGGCAAAATTATGACTTTCATGTAAATATAAAATAAATTCATGTCAAGGATTGCTTTTAATTCATTAATTTGGGAGGGAACCAATAAGATGTTTAAATCAGTTCAAAGGACATTTGACGAGTTTTAGGTATTTTCCTGGGGACTTTATCAGTGTCTGCAAGTTTTCTTGTTCCACCTCACTTCTCCTGCCATTCTAAGGCAGCAACGAGAATTCCAGAAACAATGTTTGAATAAGATTTCTCAGAGACAAAACTTTTTAGAGACAAAACAAGGCTAAAAACTGTAATCTTCAAGGTTATCTTTTCCACAGGATAGAAATTACTTGTATTTCCACCAGAGGAAAAGGTACAAATTAAAATGTAACTTTACAAAGTCTAGTGTCTTTAATGAGTAGTAACCAATGAATGGGACTAAGTACATTCCATAGATCAGGGATCTGCAAATTTTTTCTGTAAATTTCCAGATAGTAAGTAAATATTTTAGGCTTTTCAGGTCATACAATCTCTGTTGTAGCTACTCAACTCCACCATTGTAGCAGGAAAGCAGTCATACATAGTACATAAAGAATGTTCAATATTCTAATAAAATGTTATTTATAAAAACAGGTGGTGGACCAGATTTGGCTTGTAGGCAGTAGTTTGAAGATGTCTGTCCTATATAATCCTTGGGTGGCCTTTGCCCTCTTATGATATTGAATGATGAGCTGCCCATCTCTTGACTTATTTCTATAAAGTTAATATAAATTTCAGATGGATCAAAGATTTAATTTTTTAAAAAAAGAACACAAAAGTACTGGTGAATATTGTTTTATAGTCAATGAGTAGGTAAACACTTTCTAAAACATCCATGCAATTCCTAAGAGAATATAAGCATGTTAAAACATCTCTGTGATTTTTCAGCCATCAAATTGGTAAAGATTTGAAAGAATTATAACAACCAGCATGAGTATGGGTATGAGAAAATGGGCATTCTCATCACTGATGGTGGGAATTTAAATTCAGGGAAACTTTGTGGGTATAAGTTTGGTAAAATATATTTCAATTGTACCCACCAATTCCTGTTCATAAAATTTAGCATAATGAAAGAGATGGAGATGAGAGAAAAATGACTATACAAGAATGTTTATGACAGTATTCATAGTAGTAAATACCAACAGAAGTTGTATATAATGCAAATACCAACAGAAGTTGTATATAATGAAATTCTATGCAGTCCTTTAATATAATGACATATACTATATGTATAGGAACAATATCCTTGATATATTTTAAGTGAA